GCAGTAGTAGTAGTAGTAGTAGTAGTAGTAGTAGTAGTAGTAGTAGTAGTAGTAGTAGTAGTAGTAGTAGTAGTAGTAGTAGTAGTAGTAGTAGTAGTAGTAGTAGTAGTAGTAGTAGTAGTAGTAGTAGTAGTAGTAGTGACATGAAGCTCGGAAAGCCTTAATATTCATGATTTGTGTCCTCGGCACTCACAGTCAGGAGTCAAAGACAGCACATAAGACAGAGGCCGTCTTTCCTTGTTGGTAGAGGGCCCTGCATGCCCTTTTCAGAAGCGAGATGGTTGGACTTACATGTTACATTAGCGAGGTGAACCGGAGTCGTGAGCGCGCGGTAAAAACTGCTCGCAGTGCCTTATACATCACCCAGAATCCAACTTCATCTTCATAAAAACAACTTTTAAAAGAGCATTGGGTTGGCCTGAGTTAAGAAAAATGTCCAAGGGGGAATTCGGGATAGACATGTGTACAGGCAGGAAACCACAGTTTTATTTGGCCCTGGGGGTGTTTAATCCGTATTTGGCCTTCAAGTGGTCCAGAGTTTCGCGTTTTTTGTCCACGTCGACCTTTTTGAATTGCTAAAACAGGGAAGCAAAGACGACATGAAAAAAAACATGGCACAAAACACGGAGGCATCCCCACTCTCTGTGCTAACGAGTTTCATGCTAGGCTCATGTTTTGAGTTTCTATACAGCTGTTTATATCCGGGCTCAAATTAATTTTACTAGTGTTGCAACCACGTCGATTTGGTGGGAAAACAGAGCAGGAAGTCAAAACCCCTCTGTCTCCGTCTCTTGTGTCGCAAGCAATCTTTTATAAATTGTTGAAATGGTGAGTAAACAGTAGACTTCAAGAAAATGAAGAGATAAGTTGACTGCCAAAGTATTAGTAATGGCATTTAATAATTACAGCAGCATAACCCACCTTATTCTTCTGGTAGTAGAGTACAACAAGGTATCGGTTGCAGACGTTGAAACCGCTGAGATGATCGCAGGCATTTTTCGCGTCAAAGATGTCCTCATACACAACCAACGCAGTGCCCTTTGTCTCGGGTGTGTTGCCGACTCGGATCTGGCGGATGGCGCCGTACTTGCCAAATATGTCATACATCTCCTCCGCCGAGATGTTATAGGGCAAATTCTTCACCAGAAGGACCCTGTTCACTTCTGGTGGGAGTCGTGTCTTTCAAAAAAAATTAATCAGCCGAATGAAACAACACCAAATGATTCGTGAAAAAAGAAAGCGAAGTCTGCATATATTAAAGTCGTCAGTCTGGAACTCAAATAAGTGGGAACCACTTTTCTCAAGCAGGACTCGGGCAATCAAAACAACTATTGCCGGGTGGCGTCGGGCCGTCGAACTTTGAAATTTTCACTAGTAACCTACTGTTGAGTTACAGCAACGAGCCTCCAGACTCTGCAAGACACCAATATCCCCTTACTCCTGGCCTGCAAACCGTGCCTAGTGTGGTCGGGGCTACGTTTCGAGTGGGATGCAAGACAAATCTGCCGACGCAGAAGATAGACGACTATGAAAATTAAACTTCTTGTGGTATGCAATCCTAATAAATATCCGTCACTTTTTCAGTACGAGCTGGGCGGAGAATCGCGCATTCGGCAGTTTAACTCTGCCTGACGACATCAATTTATGGCCGTTCGAATCTTTTTGCTTCCACTGTTCGGCATTGAAAAGTGAATTCGGAAAATGGAACGACGGCTCCATGGGGATGGTTCATCACGGTGATGCGGTTATTACCCCCTAACTCATCATAATAAATTTCGGCCGACGTCGAGGGATAAATGCAAACTATGTTTCGTCGGAAACATGAGTTTTGTGATGAGCTGGCGAGTGACTAGGCTTATGTGTACCTGTCTACACCATGCCGGCCCAAAATCGAGTGCAAGAGGTTCCACCGGCAACCCTGAATTGGGTTAACAATGTAGCTTCTTGTGAGACCCTAAACGATCTAACCGGTCTGGCAAGCCGCGGAATACAAACTACTAGCAAGTCACGTGTTTTCTATCGTAGCAGGCCTTCACTGGTTGAGGTAGCTAATCAATCCGAGGACGTCAAAAAAGTGGCACATGATCATGACAACCGACAGATAGTTGTACTCCAAGTAAACCTGGGCTTTAACGAAATCATTGTGGGTGGACCATAAAATCTTAAATGTTCTAGGTTAATACTGCGAACAATTTCGAGGTAAAGATCTTGGTATTACCTTATTATGCCAGCATTTCAGAGAATACGCTGCCGAATGTAACGGTGACGTAGACATTTTGCCTAAAATCGTCTTTAGCATATGGATGTTGTGCTGATCTAAAGCAGACGGAGTCGAACTCGTTTGAGAGTAATATGGGCGCGACAAAAAAGCAGGCGCGGACCTTATTTCACCAGTCACAGAAGACCTCTGGCAATAAAACTCGCCCTTCCAACAGTGTCATATTTGAAGGAAGGTCTGGGTGAAGCTCCCGGATTGTACACGCTTAACCAAGTTAAAAAAAACCGTCCCGCGTCTATACGTATACACTGGCACCCAAGGCGAAACAAGTATTTAGGGGTGCCCGTATTTTTCCCAGCTCCTACATATACTAGTGTGGGCAGCATTCATTCGAACTCGGACAGAAACGAATTTCCTCCCAACCGAAATCTACAAGCACGGCGGCCACTGCCTGATGGACCAACTCACGACGTTGTTTCAGGAGGTGTGGCACTGTGGACAAGTTCTTCAGGACTTCAAGGACGCAACCATTGTTCACCTCCACATGCACAAAGGCAACCGACAAGTCTGGGGCATTTTACTATTTAACATTGCCCCGAAGATCTTCGCGCGCATCCTCTTTGATCACCTCCTTAATCACCTTGAGCAAGAACTACTGCCGAAAAGCCAATGTGGTTTCCGACGACACGGGGTCGTCATCGACATGAGGTTTGCCGCTTACCTGCTACAGGAGGTGCCAGGAAATGCGAAGCCACCTCTACATCACATTCGTGGACTTGAAAAAGGCCCTTGATACGGTAAATCGCAAGAGACTGTGGAAAAGCAAATAAATTCAACTGTCCTGAATGATTTACGCACACGGTACGTCAGCTACACGACGGGATAATGGTGCGTTTCACGGACAACGACGCAATCTCTGGGGCATTCGTAATGGCCAATAGAGTGAAGCAGGGCTGCATCCTCGCGCCTACGCCCTTCAATCCTATGTTCTCTGCCATCCTGATGGACGCCCACCATGATGAGCGTCCCGGATACACATCGGCTACAGAACTGACGGGCATCTTCTCAACAGCAGGCGCATGCAGACCCGAACGTGGGTATCTACGACCACGCTCCATGATCTGCTCTTCGCGAGAACTGTGCGCTCAACGCCATGACCGTGGACGTGCGACGGGGCATGGACGGTCATCTCGTGAGGATGGAAGTCACACGACTACCGAAGCAGCTCTTCTATGGTGATGTCACCACCGGTGCTCGCCGGCCTGGAGGATCAAAACGACGCTACAATGACACATTGAAGAATTATCTTAAGCGGTTGTATATCAATTCTGAGACCTAGGAGTATTTCGCCCAGAACAAACCGGCCTAGGGAAGCGAAGTGAAGATCGGCGCTGCCATCTACGATGCAAATAGGATCGCTGCAGTCAAAGCTAAACGGGAGGCCCGTAAACCACAAAATCTCCGCCTCCTCAGTGCCAACCATCCGTCGCTTCCAACATTCCCGCGCTGCCAACGTGCATTCCGCGCACGAATCGGTCTTGTTGGAAACCTTCGGACACGATGCGTCATTAGCCCGACAACGTCGACCTCCCCTCTCACTCTCGCCCCTGCCGCAAAACCCGCGTCGACGAACATCTTCGTCTTGGACGATCACGCTATCGCTGCGCCACTGCCATCGTCCGCCCTGCCCTAACCCCTGCATCGACCGCAGCGGCCAGCATCACCACCACGTCTTCACATGCTCCTCCCGCCGATGGGGCGACGTCCGACGTCTCATCAACTTCGAACATCGCCAATGTCCCCACCTCCAGCGATCGGGACTTGGTTCATGCCTGTCCTCAGTGAGATCGCACATTCGCCTCGCACATCGGCCAGTTTGGTCACTTGCGAATTTGTCGCATGGGGACTGGCCCAGCTGTGCCTAGGGCGCCAACTTACACTCGCCACATAGTCAATGCACCTGAACATTCACTCAGCGCATAGGCCTAGTAGGACACATGCGCATTCACGAAAACCTGCAGTAGAAAATCACCGGCCACACTATACCATCACATTTCCCCCACGAACACCAGTACCACAAAACACCATCGCCCATCATAAGCACTTAATTGTCACCTCTCACGTAAGTGCGAAGTGTGCTTCTCGGAGACTTCTCAATATGACCGCATGTGCGATCTGGGTCTGAGGCTATTACGGTGGGCCAAGCGCCGTGGCTTGGAAGGCTGCCGGCTGACGTCTCAACTTAATCCACGCAGTCAGCTCAATGGTGTGTGTTTGTGCGAAGTGGCGGGCTGGGGGCTGAGAGATATGCTGTCACGGTTTCTTCTTAACTGATCTGTGACACTCTCACGCATATGAGGAGTGTGTGTGCGTGAGCTTTATGGGTAGTGTCTCTCAATCGACGACTGATTGGTTACCCAGCCTTGAAGGGTGACGGTCCAGGAAAATGCAGGGCCACGTGCCACCATTCTGAGCCTAAAGGTCGGTAAGCGTCTGCTATGCCAGGATCAGCAAACCATGTTCTTCGCAGTCTGGTATGCGCTGGCAGTTCTCTGGCGCCTGGTTACCGTCGGCAGGTGCGCTTGCGCTCCCGCTGGACATACAGATCGTGAGCATGACTGCCCAGTCATCTTCCTCCTTCTGACCTGTCGTGCTATTGTAGTTGGTAAAAAAACCTGGTCATTTGTTGTGTGGACAAGGGGATGTGGTGTGGAGCGCCAAGGTGCGGGCTCAGCCGTGCCATCCACCTGCGTCCTCCGTCGCCTCCGGGCTTTTCAACTCTGTCTTGACTCCGGGCCCAGGTGGGGGAGGAGAAAGTACGGTGGATGCTGCGCAAGCCTGCAATCACTATAAACTAAATCCCGAGCAAGTCAGCGTGCCTGCTTCACCTTGCTGTGGAGCACACGGTGGACATCGTCGGATGTCCTGGTCAAACTATCAAGTTTGCCGGCAATATGTCGGAAGCTCGCGACCATCCTGATCCATCACGCTTAACCCTTCCCAACTATACGGCAAGACACATCCTTCATCCCTTTAACCTGGTCTGCCTACCAAAATTATGATTCCCTTGGAGGGCAGGCAGCATTTTTGTCAAAAGGCAACAGATCGGCAGAGACAAAGCAAAGAGACATTCGTGTCATTTCATTTTGACGGATTTACGCATGTAAAGAGTTTGTAACATTCAATTTGAATGTTAACACGAAAAACTCAAGTCAAACCTGTCAAACCCTGTTCTGATGATTGGACTTCAAATACCCTTATTAATTTTGGATGGAATCATAGTTTACTTCGAAAGCCAGAGTCATTCCAGGAACCAGATGGTTAAAATTAGAGCACCTTTTAACGAACCAAAATCCTGAAAATGTTCCATAGAGCCGTAAGAAAGGAGCGAAACCCCAGCTGGAAGTATGATTGAGTATTTGTGTATAGGAAAGTCCACTATGTCAAGATGCGTGTCAAAAGTTACTAACCCCCATAGAAAGTCACAACAAGTCAAAAGAATAATAAGTAGATTCTAGGGAGACTGAACTTGAGTTTGCCATGACTAGTCGTGTCGGCCGAGGATGCCTCAGTTCCCCTTCACTGTTTAACTTTGTTTTGGATAGCATCTACGAAGGTAAGTTGAGACTGATTAGATGTCATCCCTACCATCAAAGACGTTCCTCGCAAAGAAACTGGCGTGGAGTCGCTGTGAATTCTGGGGAACATCAGCGCCTATTGTTCACGCGACATTACGCATGAAGGACAAATCGCAATTTATTCCTTGTGAGCTACTTTTATCACTAAACCCTAACCACTAATGCTTGCATTCGCCTAAAGAGTGCACCTAGTGACTAATTTACCTTGTTCTTCGTACAAACCGAACATTGAAGAAGCTTGATAGTCGATTCCTATTGGCTGCTCCCCTCTGAGTTTGTGGTGTAATTTTGCATTTAGTACCACAAATCTGGCCAGCCATCGATATAACAATATTCTTAAATGAACGATGGTCAGTTAAAATGATCCTAATTAATTAACGTGAATAGTCAATCGCCAAAACTGCGCTCCCTCTGCACTGGTTCCATTTAAACGGTTTGCTTCTTCTCTCAGTAAAATTTGGGCCATAAATACAAGGCTTTCTCTTGCAGACCGGCCGCCAGGTACTTGTGGTACGTGGCCAGTTAATGGTGGCCATGATCACTTAGCATAATCCAGAACGGGTAAGGTTTATGAAATACGCATGGACAGTAGTTAGACCTACTGATGACCCCATTGACAATCTTATCATGCTTAAAAAACTTGCGGTCAATAGAAAGTACCCAAATATGTTGCTACCATGACTAAGCAGATATTTGCAGTTTGTCCCAATCAATATCATGTTTAGCGGCCTCGACCTTTGACACAGATGGCCGAAACACGCAGACACTTGCGCTCATCGGTCAAGCACAAGTGACCGTTCGGGATAGAAGACATGAAGAAACGTTGTACCTAAATCGCACGTACTAAATAAGCATTTCGCTTGAAACTGGACCTTAGAAGGCTGGTAGTACGAAAGGTTAGCAGGCATTTAACAATGGCAAATGCATAACCTTTCGAAGAAGTAGTTGGTTTTAATGACTCGCACTTATCATGCTGCGTACAACGCAGGGTTAACAGGAGTCTGGCAGGAGGGACTCTGTCAATCACGTTGCAGTTTTGAAGAAGGAGACACGATCGTTGGGACAAGAGCTTTATTAGCCCGACGTTTCGGATTTTCACTCGAATCTATCATCAGAGACAGTCATGTAGCGGCCTAATAACTACATCCTATAAATACCGCAACACCTGGGCAATTTACCACCCCTATTTGACTCTGTCTCTGATGATGGATTCGAGTGAAAATCCGGAAAGCCAGGCCAATGAAGCTCTTGTCCTAGCAATCGTGTCTCCTTCTTCGTGACTACTTCCTGGAACTCGCCTCTTCGCTTCTATTAGCAGGTTGCAATCCGTCGAAAGGGATGAGTTGCAATGGCGACTGTAAGAATTAGGTGAACAAAGTGCTGCTGGTCGAAAAGGGTAGGGCCAGACCGTTCGCTCAGTTGGGAGCCCAACGAAAGAGACTGAAACCTATTGGGGACTCTGTTGGCAGTGCGCATCCTCAAGTAGTGACTCCGCACAGTTTGAGTCACTATTTAGAACCCTTATACACGGGAACTAGTCAGACAAGAGCCAAATTTTACGATGCGACACCGTGGTTTTATATAAGGCTCATCTTGGTGAGGTTTTGTTCCGGCAGAAAACTGCCTTTTATTACCGAGGACACCCCAGGATGCAAAATGCTGGCAAGTGTTCTGTGAAGGAAGACTGCAACTGATAGTCAAACAGAGATAAAACAGAAGATGGCAGAAATTTTTCTCCATATTTCACTGAAGGCACAAACTAACAAATATGGGCTCACAAGTAAAGGACTTCTAATATTTGAAAATACATTACTCTTATCAGCCAATATCTCGTAAAAAAGACAACGTGGAGCATCAGGCGAGGCCCTTCCAGAGAAGTTACAATATTATCAAGTCAGTCTTGATCAAAATTCCAAAAATAGTGCATAAACCACTCACATTTGCGCGCTTCCCCAAAGCCATGACTCTCCCTAAGGGCAGCTACCAGGTTATTGAATTTCCCTCCCTAATTTCGGCTCATTCATATCCTATCCGGCGAGACTGTCAGAAGCAAAACTCGTGAAAGAGTCTGAATTATCCAGCTTAATTTTGAGCCTGCAGACTTCCAGAATAGTGGAGTCCCCTTTGTGACTTGCTTATCGGCAATTTGCCCTAGGCGGTGCTACTTTTGGTTTGCCTTCATACTGTCTTCTATATAGATCTACTGCAGTTTTCCACTGAATGTACTTTCTGTCTGAAGTTATGCCGATGCTTTGCACTTTCATTTGCTGCCTTGTCTCCGAGGGACTGCCTTCGCTTCTGGGGTTGTTATTCATCTGGTGGATTTATATGTCAGAGGCGAGCGTAAATTCGTCTCACATTTCATCGACTGATTAAGAACACTTAGCCTTCTGACCAACAATTCCCGTTCCGAGTCTTAGTCATCTTGCGGCTTTCGAAAAACACTCATTATGCTGAAGTCCACTTTTTGTCCAAAATCCAAATAAACCAACGTCTCTACGTTAGAAATGTTCTTGTTCGTCTATTATGGTCATGATTTGCGTTCATTCTTACGCCAACATATCAATGCGCACAAAACTACGTGCAGGAATGGATTAATGCGTGCACCAGCAGTTGGATCGACCAGGATTTTTATTCTTATTTAAGCCTAGACCTTTATTCGCCTCTTCTTAAATTCAGCAGAGAATTAAGACGGTTCTTCAAAGTCGAACATATGAGTGGAGTACTTTCACGATCGTCCAATAAATTCCATGAAGAGAATACACCGTGACCCGGAAATATGCTAACAAAACCTCAAATCGATCTATAAGAGAGAAAGACAAAGTCACGATACCAAACGCATTCATATTGGGCTGGACAAAGGACTCGTAGAATTAGTCTGACCGACCAAGACCTCGATAAATTTTCTTCCAGAATGATTGAAGGGTGCAACTACTGTTAAGAACAAATTCGCGCTCCAAAATGCCGACCCAATACTTTTTTGTGAGGGGGGATATCTGACATTTGGAGTGAGAGAAATTGAGAGGACAAGAGGTGGGGTTCCTGAAACTATCCATCCTCTGTGACAGCAATCTCGTCATCCAGAACAGGTTAAGTATACATGCCCAGACGCCATTTCTTTGTCCAAAGCCTATAACCGTTACAGCTAACGTGTTATATACACCAGCCAGTTTCGATCAGAGTGGATGGGATTTTGCATTTAATTCCACGAGATGGACAGACGCCTGTATACCATTATCATTAAAACCAAATTTAGACTTTTGTGCACTAATGCTTAAAGCCTCGTTTCGAAAAATGACGAAATTAATGGGTTGGTTGCAGAAGGAGAGCCCGGTATCGTTGCCCTAACGGGAACGGCGCTTAAAGACGAAAGTGCGGGTACCGAGGTTTCAATACAAGAATACCGGCTCTTCCATAGACGTCGAAATAGACAGAGTAGTGGGATGGTCCTGTGTGTAAGGACAAGACTTTCGGCTGTTGAGCGAGCGCTCGTCCCCCCTTAAACATGAATCCATCTAAATAATGATTAGGAGGGGTAATTCACAAAACCAAGGAATCCGTATGGTACACAGACCACCAAGCTCTCTGATTGCAGCTGAAGAATTGCTCTTCCATTTGGTCAATGTAGTAGCCAGCCGCCACATGGTTTTTATTGCCTGAGCTTTCAAAGCACTCGTAATAGACTGGGGGAGTTTGGCAGTTGACGGTGCGCCAACTTCCTTGGGCTGTATGCTAATCGAACTCTCTCTGATACAGCATGTTAGGACACCAATGAGATTCAGAAAGAACCAGAAAACCAATCGCTTGAACCTGCTCTTTACGAAAGACTTCTCCAACATTGACGAAGTTTTTTCCTGTGCACGTCTTCGTATGAGTTATCATACCACTCTACTGTGGGACCGAGCGTTCCATTCCCAACACCAACAGAAAACGGAAGACCAGCGAAATAGGCAAAAGACAGGTCTTAACTCGATGAGGTACCGTGAATCGAGAGTGTTTTCTCAAGGATGATCCAGACGAAAACTGGAGCTCGCTTAAGACGACTTAATTAGATCTCATTTGATGCTGCTGTCCAGCGAGGTACAAAAACGGCCGGTCGCCTTGTCTGTTAAAAAGATACCTCAATAGTCATTTGAGGAAGAAAAGTAAAAAATAGGAGATATTCAGGGGAACTTGGACACCAGAACACCTCAAGGAATTCTGTCGCCAACCAAATGCGACCAAAAATGAATTTGTTAGGTTGCGAAGAACTATAAACCCAGACGTATCTGGCAGGGCGAGTATAAGCCGAAAGTTCTATCCCGCATAATGATGGTTGACTGAAATTCAAGAACCCGCCTCAGCACTTAATGGTGTCAGTCGTGTAGAAGTTGTTGAAAACGGCATGAAACCCAAGCACTTTACCCGACCCACTGATGTAATGATCGCTAGAGAAACGGAGTTTAAGGCTTAGAAGATCAAATGTGCTGCCTTAAACGCCGGTCCAGCTCCCGAATCTATGCTCTTGATGGCATCAGCAATGGAAATAAATCTACATTCCCATTCGCCATTCGAATTGAGGAGACTTAAATTGGAATGAAGGACAGCAAGAGTGGGGCTTGGACTAACGTCAATATTTGTCGTCCCGTCAGCCTAACACGCATTTGCTAGAAATTGATGGAAACCATACTTGAGAAGGCGACTGTGAATTTTCTGAAGGATGGTCGCTTACTGTCAGGCTTCCAGTACGATATTTAAACAGTACCGCTTTTATCATTCCGGTATATCGTTATCAGCCAAGAATTGGACTTCCGCAATGAACGAGGATGGTGAGGTTGACGTCATTCACGCGGATTCCAAGAAGGCCTTCGGCAACGTCCTACAAATAGGTCTAGTCTATAGTCCACCTTCAACTTAAATAAGAGGGAGGCTGCCGGCATAGATCGCAGACGTTCTTACAGAGGGGTTGTAGACTGTGTGCGCTGATGCCTCGAAGTCAACCCTCCTTTCTAAGTGACTTGCCCCGGGAATCAGTCTTGGGGTCGTTGCTCTTCGTTTTCTGCACCAGCGATTGCGTCGACAACCTGGATTTCAACGCCTTCATGTTTGAAAAGTCAAGTTGGCTAACACGTGTTTTCAGTAATTCTTCGTCAGGCCAATACAATTACATGAAGGAGTGAAAGTGTACAAAATTAACAGTGTTTCTAGGTGTCTCAAGGTCAATTATGTCATTAACACTCATCTTTCCCACGCCGCCCGCATGACGAGGTCGGCGGGTTTTGGTCCTTAGGGCTGGGGGAGGGGGGTAAGCGAGTTTTTGAGTGATGCTCTTGGATTGAGTACACGAAGTACCCATCACTGTAATCAGGGATTTGAGGCGGCATGTCGTCATCACGTGAGGTTGGCGTTGGCCACGGCAGAGAGAGCGCTTGTGTCAGGGTTTTCTGACAGCATAGCACCGGATTCGTTAGTCGTATTGCCACTGCCTCGGCCGTTGCTAGTATCCGTTGGCGTAGGCCTTTAGAGAAGCTTGTTGGTGTCCGATAGACAACCTGAAATGCTTCCTTGGCATCGACTCGGTGATCCGTATCGATTAAATGTGCGAGAATAGAACTCGCAACCGGTCGGGTCTCACCTCTGCCTAGCCAGGCGGGCATATATTCACGCACCCTCTTTACCAGGCGTCTCGTTGTACGGCCGATGTATCCTGCTCCACAGGAGCAAGTGAATGAGTAGATGCACATTGATGTGGCCTCCGACGGTAGTCTGTCTTTACCTCCCAAACGTAGGAGGGGAGAGTTTGTGAAACATACGCATAAATTCGCCGTGGGGAATGCTCTCGTGACAGCTGTTGTTAAGCGCCGTCTGACTATTTCGCTCGCTGCGTCCCCTGCAAAAGGCAGTCTTATGAATACATCTTTCTTTTCTGCAGTCGTAACAGTGGGCTTTGCAATGCGTTCCCCAATATTTCGGAGGATAAATCTATCTGGATATCCGTTCTCGCGAAGTGTGTTCTGCAGATGTTGGAGCTCTGCTTCAATAGCTTCAGGTGAGCAGATGCGCCTCACTCTAGCTGCCAATCCCTGGACTAGATTTCGTTTGATGTTGAGGGGAACAAAACTGTGAAAATTAATGTACTGTTTCGTTCAGGTTTTCTTTCGGAACACCCTGCGCTGGATAGACCCATCCTCCTGCCTGTGTAGAAGGACATCGAGAAATGCAATTTCGTTATCTGCCTCAGACTCAGCAGTCAACTTTAGCGAGGGGTGCGCACTGTTGAACTTTTGGACAAGGTCCTCGATATCGGTGGTACCATCCGCCAGACAGAAGATATCGTCCACGTACCGACCGTAGAAGACGAGGTCATTAATGGCATCTTGTAATCTTGTCTTCTCAACTTTGCCCATAAAAACATTTGCAAGGAACGGTCCAAGAGGTGCTCCCGTTGCCACGCCATGTATCTGTCTGTATAGTTAACCATTGCACAGAAACTGGACATTTTGTGTGCAGCGCGTCAGTAGTTCTTTCAGCGTTTTTACTGGCATGTCTATGGGGTAGTTCGTGTCACGAATAACAGCACAAAGATAATTTATCGTTTCTGACACAGGTACGTTGGTAAACAGCGATGATACATCCAGTGATAATATCCTCCGTCCGCCAACGTTCATATTTTTGATAGCTTCAACGAACTCAAAGGAGTCTTTCAGACTTCGAGGATACAGATGACCTTGCAGTGGCTTCAGTCTATCCACTATCCATTTTGCAACGGTGTGATAGGGCGAATTCCTCATATCCAAGATTGGACGTAGGGGCAGCCCTTGTTTGTGGATTTTAGGAAGGCCGTACATTCTTGGTATTGTCAAGCCCACCGGCCTCAGTCGTTCATACTCTTTACTAGACAAATGGCCTTCTTTGCAGAGGTCTTTCAGAATACTCGTCAAGTGACCCTCGACAGCCTCTGTGTGATCCTTATCTTTCTTTGA